ACCTTATTAAAATTCTTACAGTTACTATATAATTTATAAATAATGTGTATTCTACTATATAAGAACTATAAAGCTATATAAGAAAATGGACTTTTCCCTAACAAGTGTAAGGGCATGTCTAGTATTGTATTACTAAGGAAAATGGCAAGAGACAGAGAGGTTAGCATGCTAAAAGTGCTCTACTATGTATGTAATAAAGTTTGGGACCATGTTCTCAAGTACTACTCTAGACTCTAGTAAGCCAGGTATATAGGGATTTGAAATTTGTCTGAAACTAGGTGAAACAAAGGTAGTAGTAGAAAACTTACATTAGTGTCAGATACAGAAGCTTGAAGAACTGGAATAGGATAAGAAGGTACTGGTCAACAATGTATATCCAAAACTTGTTTGTACTCTTATTAGATTAATATTATAATACAGAAGAAAGAAATATACTAACTAATTTACAGTAGAATATTCTCTATAATATAGAAAATCAGAATACAGACATATAGCTCTTAATATACTATACTCTCTTTATCTGATATATCCCTTTGTAAGTCTCTATATCTACAATTAGTATTAGTTATCTAATATCTTTACTGAATCCTAATGTCTTCAAATAGTACAAGTAGGAAAGATTAAAATATTATATATCAACCCTGAACAGTTTACTATAATTTGCAGCACATCTTACTGTAAATAAGTAGCCAAACAACATTACAGCAATAACATGTGTCTGGAAGAGAATAAACTACATATATTAGAGCAACTCTTGTTCAGTTCAGTCTTACTAACTGTACAGAGATACTACTTTAAGTATAAGCTTTAGCATGCCTTGTAGTAGACAGCAAATAAGATTAAGTAGTACCAGTAATGCAAAATTTATGTCAACTTCATAATACACTAGTAAACTTTAGTTAAGCAAGTGAACAATATTCTTTATCATTTCTATTAGAGAAAAGTCCATTTTCTTATATAGCTTTATAGTTCTTATATAGTAGAATACACATTATTTATAAATTATATAGTAACTGTAAGAGTTTTAATAAGGTTATAAAGTAAAGATAATTCTTATACATCTTATAAAGGTTCTAAAAGTATTATTAATGAATATAATACAGTATATGTATTATAATAGCTTTATATATTAAGTAAATATATTTTAACAAAAATATATTAAGAGTAAATACTTTATTATAGTATTTTACTTAAAGAAAAAGACTTGTGCCTACTATATAATATAATATAAAAGCATTTTCTACATTTATAATGTATACTAAAGTTCTATTAATGTTTATAATAAATAGAAACTCTGTTTGAGAGGTTATAAACTTAATAAATGTATAGTACTCAAATGTAACATGTATATTATAATAGTATAGTAAATATAAAGTGAGTTACTTAGCTTATGTAATGGTTGAATATCACATAGGACTTTACTTAAATCTTGAGTACTACACTTGCCCTTATTACTTGCCTTTAACCTCTGCCTACCCTTAACCCTCTACTCTGTAAATAGTAGTACTTGTCACTTTTGTTCCCTCTAGTTCAGTCCTCTACTTGCCAGTAGGCATACTGTCTGCAACTATGTAGACAATAAACATTACTGTACTTGTCTCTCTAATCAGTCATTATAATACCTGTGTTGAGCTCAGATCCTGTGACAATACAACCCAGCCCTAGTGTTTCTTTTTAGAGACCTATACTAGTAATATACTATACTATACTATACTATACTATACAGCTGACTTTAGTGTTCCCTTCCACCTTCAACATAAAGTGTAAGCAGCCAGTCCATTTCATAATAAGTACTATAATAGATACTTATCTCTCTCTCCCCAACTTTTTTGTCTCCCTTCTGCTCCTCTACAGTTGTCTCTCCTTTATTGACCTCCTTTTTTTTTAGTTTGCCTTCCTTTTTGAATTTGTATTCATGCATCTGTATTGTTTCCAATACTGAACAATTTCTTTAATAATTCTATACATTTGTGTACTTCTTCCTACTCTACAGTACAAGCAACAATTAGTGAGTACACACTTGTAACAATGTCTATGTACAACCACTCTCAAGGTACAATCCTCTCTCTGACCCCTTGCATACTTTCCTTCCTTACTCACCATTCTATACTTAATATGTATTTACATTACCTAGTACTGTTTATAGATACTGTTTCAAATAACAGAAGTAGTAGTCTACTACTCACCCCTCCTGAGCTGAGTCTGTCCACACCTTCTACTTCTCCTCCTCCCTTTGAGCCAGAACATCCTAGAGATACACCTTTACAGTCATCCCTAACAACTCAGTTTACTGTACCTCTAATTGTAAAACATAGTCAGAGTATGTAACACACAGGTACAAACACAGCTTTGTCTACAGCCTAAATCATCTTGTTTAACACTCCAGATCACAACCCTAGTACACTACTCACACTTGCTACACACTATCACAATACATTTATCTCCTTACTCTAGTTAGCTACTCACATTAATACTAATACTCACACTCACACCTTTAGCTAGACAGTCTCACAACTTCTCTCACAAGTGCAACCTCAACCTACACAACACATACAACCTTACAACTGACAGGCACACACAATTCAACTTGTAGGGACTGAGCAACAACTAAGTCTTAGTGACTAAGACCATATTAAACAACTCAAGAACACATTCATTATCTTCTGTCACAAATACTGTTTGAAAAAGAACAAGGCAGAGGCTACACTACCTGCAGAAGACAACCTGGTCACACAACATCAGTGTTGAGCTGACCTCTCCAAAACAATCTCATACTAATAGTGTTTACTGTTTGTAGAGGAACATAAATACTAGGGCAAACTTGTAAAGCAGAGGAAGAAAGAGTATAAGGAGATGAATACCTATAGTATGTCTATCAGTTGTTGTGATTTGCTAAGGTAGTGATAGTTTTATTTCTGTTATAATGTGTTAATATTATGTACTGTTCAGCATTGTTAGTAAAGAATAAAATATTTAAATAAAATATATACAGTGAAACCTGTTAATAAGCATACTTGTAGTTTAGCATTTCCTCTCAATAAGCATGAAAAATTTGATCCACCAAGTTGGTAGGCAGGAAAATAGAGGTATATTAAGTATAAAGGGCATTAAGTATTAAGTATTAAGGTGTGAGATCAAGAATATGCTTAATTAAAGGAAATTTTGGGTCATGTGACAGTACAGATCATGACCTGGAGAGAGCCACTTTTTGTACAGGCTACCTCCATTTTGTAAAATAAATACATAATGTAATAAAAACCACTATTAAAACTTATTGTTCATCATGTCTGAGGAGCTTGGATGTGCACAGAACCCAGATGGAACACTCAAGGATGCTAGTGAAATTGTTTTCACTTATTCTAGAGAAGCTTCCCCTGTCAATCTCTCAGCTCTGCTTCCAGATATCCATGCTTCCACTAGTATTTATCCACAAACAAGTACAGTCAATGATACATCTCTACCAAAGGATCCTGCCCATAGCAAAGCACCAAAGTTGAAGTATTAAAAGCTATGTAGAGGCTGTCCAATTACTTTCAAAGCTCAATACACTCTTTCAGAGTGAGATTGGTGCTGAGTTTACTGAGGCTAGAGCACTTTTTCCAAAGCTTACAAGAAACCTATGCAAGAAAATAAATAGTTCTCTTGAACAGACTGATATTCAGTTGTTTTTTAAGTAGACAATGTATTATTGAGTTATGTACTACAAATAAGGAAATTTTATTACTTTACTTAAGCTACTGTCAACAGGCATAACCTCTTATTAAGCATGGCCTCACCTGTCTACAGTGGGTCATGCTTAATGACAGGTTTCACTGTATTGTACAATAAGCCATTCAGATAAGGTATAAGCTGTAAATTAACTTATTTAAGGATTATAAGATAGTAGAAGAAGTATTATACTATATCAGAAGAGGAGTGCAATATATACCATTATAGACTTTCCTAAGAGCTATAATTCTTATATCCCCATTGTAAGGACATATAATGTTTATTAATTCTCATAATATAAATCTGTCTTATTACAACCTTATAGTATCTTTTATATATCTTATCCAATGAGGGGTGCAATAAATGTTGTTATGGATAATATTGTTTTTTTACATATTATATATGCATATAAGAGTATATAATAATTAAGACTTTTTCCTGACGTCCTAGGGAGTAACAGTGAGAAAGGAATAGTACCAGTATGTTCTGAAAGATCAAAGTGATTAATGGCTTGTTGGCAGCCGCAGTCTTGAAAGAGATCAAATGTGCACTTACAGTTATGGTATAATTAATTCTCATATGCATAATGGATGTATAAACCTGGACTACTTTGCCTCTCGGGAGCCACCCCTTTCAAGTTTCTGAAAATACATTTATTAGAAAGCAAACCGGTTTCCGTGGGCCCGATTGCCAGATACATCGAGAAGATGTCGGCAATTGCTTCGAGGATGTTGTCAGAGGAGCCGTTCCTTTGCAATCCTCTGGAGCCGCAACTGCTCATCAGACAGCTCCGTTTCGGTCATTTTGCATTTCTGAAGTCTTAGTAAGCGATCGATCAAAAACAGGCGCATAGTTCCCCCGCCCCCGAACAAGGTCAAGTCCGTGATCAACAGAATCGTACTTAGACAAGTTATCTCCTATTCATAAGATGCCTAGGTACCAATGCACATACTATCGCTTTCTCCAACGTACCGGCTCCAACTCTTTCGACTAACTCAAGGTCTTCAAAACATGGTCGTGATGCAGCACTTCCATCAGCGCCCCTGTTCTAACTTTGCACATGAGCAATTGATTGTACGCAGGCCTGACATCGAAATTCTGTACATGTTCTATGCTAGAGCAGTCTGGTAACAAGTGCAAAGTTCTCTCGAACTGATATATAACCATCATGTGTATCTCCCACTTCATCAGAACATTCAGAATAAGAAAACGAACTTTATGGCACTATGTCTGGCGCCAGCTCACCTGAACATAGCCGTACTACTACTAGTAGACAAGGCTCACAAACCAGCATGTCATCTATTCTGAAGCCGCGAAATAAGAGCCGAAATACACCAAAGGACACTAGTACACCAACAAGGAGAGTGAGTTTCGCACAAACGCAAGACAAGCTGGTGCAACATGCTCCTGACCCACAATATAATTCCTCTAATTCAGATCAAGAGCAGCAAGAACATATCGAAGAGGTCAGTCATCATCATAGGAAGCACTCAACCCGGCATTCGAAGACACAGAAAGCAGATAAGTCTAAGCAAACAACTCCTAATGAACGGACCAGAAGAAATATCTTGAAAATACTGGACAAAGGGGACATTAATCAAAGTAAGATAGTATTTATTCAAAGCTCTCCCTGTAGTAACTCGTTCTTAATTCACTCAATTTCAGTGCTGGCACTCCTCCTGGGTTCCAGTAAGCTAGATTATGACTCGTACGATTTAAAAGGACAGGACTGCTACATTATAACACCAGGGAAAGGAAGTAAGTAATTATAATGGACTATTATAATGTAGGCACTAAAACTATGATTTATAATAGCTTGGGGGAAGTGTTTAATTGACCCGGAAAATTGCAGTAGCATGTCTTACATAAAGCTGCCAGAAGTAGATACTGCTGATGATGAGGATGGGGTGCTAGAACTGGTCCAAGATACATACAACAAAGTCTGGGAACATATTCTGGCAGACCATGGCCAAGAACTTGATAGCTGGGGAATTGACATCCAGTTAAAATTGTGTACCAGGAAGTCGGAAATAGAACAATTACGCCAACAACGAAATCGGATGTTATCAGGTCATTGAAATCAGGCACAGTTGGATTGAAAGATTATAATTAACAAGTATGCTCTTATGAACTTTGCTTATAAATTTAATAGATCAAATGTGTTTAGATAGAAAACAGAAATATAAAAGATGGTTAGTCCAAAATAGTGGCATTCCATAAAGAACAGGATATACACAGTATGTATCTACTCAATTATAAATCTGGAATATTATATTTGATATATACAAACAAATCAATATTAAAACAATTTAGGAATATTAATGTGATAAACCTTCTATATTGTATTCTTTATCACACATTCTATAGAATTGTTAGTTTCCAGATAGAAGAGAATGACAACTTATATACAGATATTGGACAAACTAAGAGATTTAATAAATGATCATCTCTTACAGTTACTACTAATTTAGTACACAAATCCAACAAATAACCAGACAATTTGAGAGTAACAGTGCCTGTATTGTCTGAACTAAGGAAGTTAGAACTATTCTTATGCATTTCTATCTTGCAAATTGTGTAATTGATACAGCTAAAACAGGGTCATTCCTGTACTGATAATCTAAAATAAGTAAAGGAAATAGGGCAGTTTGTCATTCTTTTGTCTACAGAGCACCTGTGAGAAAGGCATAGTACTGTTCTACTATACAATACTAATGTGACAATTGGCTTGACAGCAGCCACTGGTTTTGGAGAGATTAATTGCACACTTAATGACATAATCAGTCTCTACATGTGTATTTACATCTCAACTATTTTGCATCTCAAGTGCTTCCCCATTTTCATCTTAAAAGCATACTTTGATTGGAGACAAAGAATGTATACACTATAAGGAATAAGTAGTAGTACTAATACATGCTGACAGGATGTCATTAGCTTCTTTGAAGATGTCATCAGAGGTGTCTGAAATGCTTGTAGAACTGAGACTGCTCAATGTATCAGGAAAAAGTCTTAAGGCTTATATTAGCTTATAAACATATAAATTATATAAATTTTCTAAAAAAATATAAAAGACTATATATCCAACCTCTCAAAATGAGAAAATTATAAAAAGCTATATAAGATACAAAAAGGTATGTACAAATTGTTAATATGAATAAGGTTTATAAGTGTTGACAATATGTAAACAAACTTATATCCAATCTCCTAAAATGAAAAGATATTAAAAGAACTTTGTATTTTAACAAGAGTAATATAGTTTTATAATGTATACAATCTAATGTAAAGCTTTAAAAGTAGTATGTATATTGTTAAACATTATTATACTTTATAAGAGCTTTACAAGACTTTAAAATAGTTAAAATATTTTACAATCCAGGTGTTCATTTATTTCTCCTTTTTTCCTCTTATAATTAAGTATTTACATTTTAATACACTTGTATTAATTTATTTCTACTACATTTCATTCTAATAATATTGTACTTGTGAAACAATCATGCAGACACAAAAATAAATAACAGAGAAGGAAAGGACAGGAAAGGAAAGGAGTGTCTAGTTGTAGAGAATCATACTTTGAATATTTATCAGACTAGTCTTTGTCTAAGGGACAGAATTGTTAGCAAGTGTAGGTAATTGAAGTAAGGAGAGGGACACACTATAATAATGTGTAGGAAGGGTGGGTAGTACACTAGGTTGAGATCTAGAGTGTTAAGCAAGCTGATTTGAGCTACAGGCAAATCTGTATCTGTATATATGTACTGTGTACTCTTACTAAAGTAAGTAATAGAGGGTGTAGTGTGCTAGACTATAGATTGTAATAGTGTATCTCTAGGACATTCTGACATGAAGAGACAAGGCAATGTGGAAGTCATAAACAGACTCAGTACAGACAGTATAAGTAGTAGGTTACTACTTCTGTTTAATACTATCACAAAAAAGTTGCAACAAATGTATTTAATAATAGCAAAAGTAATCTAATAAAATGATTTCATAAGCATTACATTTTAAAATAATACTTATATTTTACTTGTAATGTAATTATAATGATTATATATAAATGTAAGAAATATACAAAGTTTCTATTAATCTACAAACATGTTTTAGAGTAAGTAAGCTTACTAATAGTATTATTACAACATTACATGTGAGGTACAAGTACTCAACTCTTATTGTAATCTGTTAAAATTATATTATAAGTTATTTGTAACAATAGTTGATTAATTATAATAGTTATAAAAGTAATACATTGTACTTGTAAGTTAATTACAATACTTTTAGTACAATAATATATAGTTATATATATTAATATTGTTAACAATCACCCTGTAAGGCTTATAATATAATTTAGTTTTCTATTAAACTATATATTGAAGTGCTTACATAATCGAATACTAAAGATTGAGAGTATATAATGACACACTTACTCTTGTTACTCCTTTCCTCCTACCTCCACCATCTCCCCCAACCCTCTTCCCTCAACACTATGTTGTTACTTTTGTCCTCTCCAGTCTAGTCCTCTGCCTACAAGTGTCCTCTAGCAGGTACACTGTCTATAACCATCTAAACAATAAACATTACTGTATTATCTCTCTAATCTACTATTGTAATGTCTATACTAAGCCTCAGATCCTGTGACAATACAACCTAGCTGGCTATACTGTCCTTCAGTGTAAATTGTAAGTAGCTACCCACTTTATAATAATGTGTATAATAGTTACTCATCCCTTTCCTCCCAACTTTTTGTCTCCTTTTCATCCCTCCTACTTCTTGTTCTGCCTCTTATGTTGCCTCTCCTTTATTGTCCTCCTTTTTATTATTCTTGCCTTCTTTTTTACAGTTGCATTCACACATCTGTATTGTTGATTAATACTAAACAACTTCTTAATAATTACATACATTTATGTACTACTACTCTTAAGACACAATCCTCTCTCTAACCCCTTGCTCACTCTCCTTCTCTACCTATTCTATGTTTGACATCATTCTTAATAGGCTTACACTGTATACATTTACATTCCCTAGTACTGTGTATAATACTATTTTAAACAGAAGTAGTGAACCACTACTCCCTACCTAAGACAAGTCTGTCTGCCTTCTACTTCACCTTCACCTTTTGAGCTGGAACATCCTAGAGATACACCTTACAATCAATGACTCAGTTTACTACACCTTCTATTAGACACTATAGATAAACTATAGACTATATACACACAGACACTATTTTGTCTACAGTCTGAATCAACTTGTTTAACACTCCAGATCTTAACCTGTATACACTACTCACACTTACTATATACTGTTACAGTGTATCCATCTTTTCTTTCCTATTATCACTTGCTAATCATTCTAAACCTGTCTCACAGGCAAAGCCTCTCTACAACCTACTCAATCTTACAAGTTATACACATATACAATTCAACTTTGTAAGGACTGGGTGATGACTAAAGTGTAGTAACAAAGACTATATTGAACAGTCTAAGAATGTATCAATCCTTTACTAATGCAAATCCTGCTTGTGAAAGAATAAGGCAGAGGCTGCTAGTAGTGTAGAGATTAGGACTGTAGAAATAATGTTTTATTTACTATCTTTTTGTATTCTATAATTAAATATAATTGTATTTTATTAATTATTTAATACAAAATTGTAAGTAAAGCTAAAACAAGCTGTTCAAATGCTTGTAGTAACTTATAGGGATTGTAAGCAGACATTATACTTTCTCAAATAAATAAGTATGTCTTAGTCTTGTAATCTTAGGAAGTATGTTATAATCACTTGTATAGCTTGATAATTTATACAATTATAATAGAAATTGCTAAGTTTTACAAGTATTCTTACTTACTTATTTAATATTGTACTTTCCTTACTTAACCCCCTATGAAGATTATATTAACATTGACAAAATTTATAAAAGGTACAAAATGTATAGGATTACAAGTAAGTACAATACTTAAGACTTTTTCATAATGACAGTGTTATACCTAGTACAGAGAAATGTAAATGTACACAGTGTAGCCTATTAAAAGTAATGTCAAACATTGAATAGGTAGGGAAAGAAGTATATACTAGGTGAGAGAGAGGGTGGCACAATAGGAGTAGTTGTATAGAGACATTATTACAAGTGTGTACTCATTAATTGTTACTTACACTATAGAGTAAGAAGAAGTACACAAATGTGTAGAATTATTAAAGAAGTTGTTCAGTATTAGTCAACAATGTGGATGTGTGAATGTAAATACAAACAGGAAGGTGAGTGTAAAAAAAGGAAGACAACAAAGGAGGGGCAACACAAGATGTAGAGTAAGGAGTAGGAGAGATAGAAGGGAGACAAAAAAGTTAGGAGGAGAAGGATGAGCAACTATTGTACAGACTATTATAGAGTGAACTGGCTGTTTACACTTTATACTAAAGGACAGTATAGTCAGCTTGGTAGTATTATTATAAGATCTGAGACCTAGTATAGGTATTATAGTAGTAGATTAGAGAGACAAGTACAGTAATGTTTATTGTCTATATTGTTACAGGCAGAGTACCTGCTGGTAGGATGCTTGTGAGTAGAGGACTCAACTAGAGAGAATAGAGGCAACAACATAGTGTTAAGGGTAGAGGGTTGGGGAGACAGTAAAGGTAGAAGGTAAAGGAGTAACACAGAGAAATGTGTCATTATATGCTCCTGATCTTTGCAGCTGATTACGTAAGCAACTATAATATGAGTCATCAACTAATAGAACATTTCAATTATTGTATTTAAGTATAAAATAAACTTATTGATCTACTTTATAATATAGTAAAAAGTAATATAACATGTATATAACTTTCTAAACACACTAATGTAATTATTACAAGTAGATGAAATACCTTTTACAATAATTGTAAACTGCTTGTATAAATAATCTAAGTATAATATACATTAATATACCTTTTGTATAAATTATAAGACAACAATAGTAATTATTACATTATTATATTATAAATATAACTCTTTCTTTAAGATTATAATTTAAATATAATACAGGCATAACACTTTAGGTTGTTATACAAAGTTAGTATAATACATGTAATAGATTTTATTCATCCTTAGTACTTATGTAGTCTTTATATACATTAATATGTCTTATTTAAACATTGTAATTCAATTACAATCCTTACAATTACTTTATAATATATATACAATACATATGTTACTTTACAAAGTCTATAAGAAATTACAAGAAATCTGACTTTTTCCTGATGTGACTGTACTGAACATTACACCATTTGTAGTATAATTTTGCACCTCTGAAGTCTTAGTGATTTACTGTTTGTACAGTAAGTACACATAAACTCACAGGTGTGACCTGAGAGGAGTATAGAACAAAGAACCATGTTGACTCAGACAAGAAAAATGGGTTTTGTATCTACTGTAAGAGTCAGTAATAGTAGAGAGTCTAGTAATGAATGATTCCTTTAAAAGAGACAGACTAAACACTCTAGAGATGTTTACAGAACAGTTTTACAGTAGCTATAAACAAACTGTCTAAGAGCTAGTTAAAGACAAACTGGTAGATAGTTTACTTGATTGTAAGGTTCCTTCAAACACATTAAACACATTCTATAATTTACTAGGAATTGCCCTCAACACAGATCTTTTACTATTGACAGGATCCTCTCAGTTGAGATTGGTTAGTAAAAATACTACTTAGACCCTACATATATAGTCTTATCATGAAAAAGTCTTAAGTATTATACTTGCTTGTAATCTTGTATATTTTTTATATTTTATAAAATTTGTCCAATTACTTATAATCTTCCTAGAGGGTTAAGTAATGACAGTACAATGTTAGATAAGTAAGTAAGAATACTTTTTGGGGGTGTGCTTTTTGGTTGTAAGATGTGTCTGAGCAGAATTTGAAAAATTACCATTTTCAGTCAGAATGTGGCAGTCAAAGTGTCTGCCTACTTGTACCTAAATTATAAATTTAGTAATCAAATTTAGGTCAATATAAATGTATTATACTGAACAATATTGTGCTAATAAGTTGAATTCATCTACTATAGCCAAGGAAAACAATGAGTAAAAATTAATACAGTGTATGTAAAGTGTATCTTACTAATGATCAGTAGCACTGAGTAAAAAGATGATGCAAGTGTGACAAAAAATCGAAAAATGAACAGCCAAATCTACTGTGATAGGGTGTGACTCATTACTTTCAAGCTTCATTCTTTATTTTACTTCTCATCAAGGGATGAGTGAACTCTTTCAAAACATTGATGAAAAACTATATAAACTCAATATGAAAAGATTTACAGAAGGAATTAGCTAGAAAAAAATTGCTTCTTAAGATACAGCTGATTTGGTGTGTAAAACAGCTGTATTTTGGCTTATTTCAAATTAAATGAGAATCCCTTCTGTAAAAAGTTTCATTTGCATCTCAGAAGTATGAAATTTATTTTTCTATTATTTTATCTTAGGTGTAGGGAACAGAAATGTTCCTGTACAATCACTACTTTTAACCAGACACAAAATTTGATCACATAAGCAATAAATTTCTTAATTGGAAGCCGTGGGAACGGACGTGCAACACAAGGGAAAAGCACACCCTCATACTTTTAAAACTTGGCAATTTCTATTATAATTTTATAAATTGTCAAGTTATAAAAGTAATTATAACACTTTCTAAGATTATAAGACTAAAACATACTTATTTATTTAAGAAAGTATAATATCTGCTTATAATACTTATAAGTCATTACAAGTGTTTGAATCACTTCCTTTTGCTTTAAATACAATTTTTTATCAAATAATTAATAAAATATAATTATATTTAATCATTTAATACAAAATAATAAATGATACATTATTTCTACAGTTCTAACCCCTATACTACTAGTAGCCTCTACCTTGTTCTTTTGTGAGTAGAATTTGTGTCAGAAAAGGATCAACACATCCTTAAGCTGTTTAATGTAGTCTTTGTCACTATGTTTGGTTGTCACTCAGGACCTGTAAGTCAAATTGTATGTGTGTGTAGAATAAGGTTGAGTAGATTGTAAAGGTTGAGACTGTACCTGTTAGACAGGTTTAGAGTAGTTAGCAAGTAATAATAGGAGATAAAAGGTGGACATACTGTAATAGTGTATAGTAAGTGTAAGTAGTGTATACAGGTTGAGATTCAGAGTGTTGAATGAGTTGATTCAGACTGTAGACAAAGTTATATTAGTATGTGTATACTACATATTCTGACTGTAATGTACAATTAGAGGAGTAGTAAACTGAGTTGTTTTTGTGGATTGTAAAGGTGTATCTCTAGGATGTACTGGCTCAAACAGAGAAGGCAAAGTAGAATGTATGAACAGACTCAGCTTAAGAGGGGTAAGTAGTAGTCTACTACTTTTGTTTAATATAGTGTTGTCTACTATACTAGGGAATGTAAATACACATAGGGTGGACCTGTAGAGAGTAATATTAAGTATAGAATGGGTAGGGAAGGAGAGTGTGTACAGTGTTAAAGAGAGGGTTGTACTATGAGAGTAGTTATATGTTAGTATTGTTATAAGTACATACTTGTTAACTGTTACTTATACTATAGAGTAGGAAGTACACAAATGTATGGAAACATTAAAGAAGTTGTTTAGCATTAGTCAACAATACAGATGTACAAATGCAAATGTAAAAAGGAAGGCAAGTGTAAACAAAGGAGGACAATGAAGGAGAGGTAACACAAGTGACAGAGTAAGAAGTAGAAGGGGTAGAAGGGAGACAAAAAGTTGGGAGGAGAGGGATGAGTAACTATTGTACAAGTTATTATAAAGTAGACTAACTACTTACACTTTACAATGAAGGACAGTATAGTCAGCTTAGTAACATTATTGTAGAATCTAAGGCTTAGTACAGGCATTATAGTAGTAGATTAGAGAGACAAGTATAGTAATGTTTATTACCTATGTTAAAGCAGGCAGAGTGTCTACTAGTAGAACACTTGTAGGTAGAGGACTAGACTAGAGAGAACAAGAGTAACAACATAGTGTTAGGGAAAGAGGATTAGGGAGATAGTAGAGGTAGGAGGGAAAGGAGTAGTAAGAGTACATTAGGAAAATGTTAAAACAGACTTGTAATATATAGTAGTAAAGTAATATATAATACTGTATAGTTGTATATTATTTAAATTGTACATAGTTAAATAGTAATATATAGTTTAATTGTTGTGTATACTTGTTTATACTTGTTTAGGACTGTATAACTGTATAGTTGTATAGTAGTATTATTGTATAATATAGAATTACAACCTATATTTATATAAAATACTATATAGTTAAATAGTATATATAATAATATATAATATATAGTAATATATTACTAAATTGTTATTTAAATTTACATATAATTATATATAGTTAAATAGTAATATATAGTTTAATTGTTGTGTGTAACAGTTTATATTTGTTTAGGACTGTATAACTATATAGCTGTATAGTAACATTGTTGTATAATATAGAATTGTAACTTATATTTATATAAAATACTATATAGTTAGATAGTATATATAGTAATATATAATATGTAGTAATATATTACTAAATTACCTATATTTTATTTATTATTTAATACAAAATTGTATGTAAAATAAAAAAACAAGTTATTTAAACACTTGTAATAACTTATAAGTACTATAAGCAAATATTATACTGTCACAAATTAATAAATATATTTTAATCTTGTAATCCTAGAAAGTCACTGTGTGTTAGAGGAATCTGAAATGGGGGTAAATAAATGTGGGAATAAGATATTGTCAGAGCTAGAATAGGGTAAATTAGTGAATCTACACACACTCTTTACTAACTCTAAAAGAATACAAACTGTGAATATAGAAGAGGGCCAATTAGATAACCTACACTAAGTATTGACTAAATATTTCTAGCAAATCTACACATACATACTATTAGGTGTGTCTATATCATATATTTAGAGCTTGTTATAGGTATATCTATACAAACACATGCAATAATATATTATTCTAATATATATATATATATATAGTATACAGGCATAACTCCTTGTATTAATACTAGCCTTGTCACCGTCCCTTACAAACAACCCTTACAACAGAAGAAGATGAATGTGTTCTCGGGTCATTTGATGTAGTCTTCGTCACTACGTCTTGGTTGTCACTCGGTCCCTGCGTGTACCACTGTGCCTGTCAGTTGTGAGGTTGTGCAGGTTGAGGTAGTGCTTGTGAGACAGGTTGTGGAATCGTTTGGCAAAGAGTGCGAGCATTAGTGAGTAACTGGATCGAGGAGATGGATGCACTGCGACCGTGTGCAGCGAGTGTGAGTGGTGCACCAGGGTTGAGATCCGGAGCGTTGAACGTGCTGATTTGGGCTACAGGCAAAGCCGTGTCTGTATTTGCACATTGATGACAGTGCATACTGGTAAGAGGTGTAAATACTGGGACGATCTCGCGAAGCAGAGGAAGAAGGAGCACGAGGAGATGTACCTGTGGTATGTCTATCAGCCCTCGCGATCTGATAGGAGCAAGAAGGGAAAGAAAGACTCAACAATGGCAGTAGTGGTGGCTCCCTTCGGTAAGCAAGGAGAAGGAGAGTAAGAAAGAGAGACGTGAACGCACTAAATCGTCGAGCCGTGTCCGAGGTTCTGGCGCACGCGCATGTGACCTTTCGTCATGCTCTACCGCAAGCACCGCGAGCATTTCTTCATCAGTGTCAACCACTGATTCTGACAACTATAGAGAATTCGACTCGCTCTCTGCTGATAGCTTGCTGTATGGTGGCCCGTTCAGATACCCGCATACAATGTGTAGCAGTGTGCACAAAGTGGAGATGGCGGACTTTGCTGATTTCAAGATGGGCAATGCAGAGTGCTTGCAAGGTCAAGGTCAACTGCAAACGCTCTCCTTACTGCTAAGCCTCTCAATGCCCTTGCTTTCTGGGCTACTGCCTCTGTTCGAAATGGTGTCATGGACAGTACTGGGAAATGTAAATACATGTGCTATGCAAATTAGACCTATTGAGCATGATGTCAAGCATGGAATGGGTGAGGAAGAGAGTGCCTACTTGGTTCAGAGAGAGGATTGCACCTTGAGAGTGATTGTACACAGACAAGGGTGGTAGTGGTGAGACAAAGAGTGAGAGTCAAGACACATTGTAAAATGTTAAATCTATGCATGCTAGGAATCTACATTTGGGTGGTACAGATCAATTTACATATCCTAGACTTATCTAATGAATCACTTAGTCTAGGTGAGATAGATTCATCCAATTACAGGTAAGTTAAGACTATCTGTACATATGTATACTTACCTTTTACCAGATAATCTACACATAAATCAAAGCTAGGTATGCTGAGTTACACTAGATTAATCTAGCTATTGGATTTGACTATATAATCTAGAACAATATTTACTCTAGGTATGACAATATGACTAATACAGATCTAAGCTACCCCTCTCAGATTCTCCTGACATGCAGTGAGTATGGTATACTCATTTGTATAACTTATAGTTGTTATAGTATTAATTTTATTTAGTTAGTATATTGTAAATAGTAATTTTAGTTATTTAAGCTAGTAAATGAGTACTCATTTTGTGCACAAGTTATAATACCCACGAAGAAAGTCACGTGTGTGTCACATGCGTGTTGGTTTTGCATTTATTTCTCTAAGTCCTAGGGACTGGCGCGGATAGAGCTTACCGCGGTTTCGCACTGCGGATGATAATTTCCCACGGATACCATACCGCGGATGAAATTCTCACGGTTACCGCAGTTACTGCAGATCCGCAAAATACTACGAAGCTAACTTTGAAAGGTAGCAAGTTCTCACAATGACTTGTATGTAATTAGTGTAAAGCATCACATTTGTGACTAAAGTCACATCATCAAACACATTTACAGTGAAATCTGTCAATAAGCATACTTGTAGTTTAGCATTTCCTCTCAATAAGCATGAAAATTTTGATCCACCAAGTTGGTAGGCAGGAAAATAGAGGTATATTAAGCATAAAGGGCATTAAGCATTAAGCATTAAGGTGTGAGATTGAGAATATGCTTAATTAAAGGAAATTTTGGGTCATGTGACAGTGCAGATCATGACCCACATGGGGCATTTCACAATTTCTTGCCTTAAGAAATAACTTACATAATGATAAACATTATTTGTAATTTAGTTTACCATTTTTGGTTGGCAGAAACTCTGAACAGAATTTAAAATTTTCATTATACAAAAACTAGAAAATAAATTTAACATTTCCCTATTTGTAAAATCTTTAAATAAATGGAGAAAATAATTTAAAACATAATTTAAAGTTTTTCCTATAGTAAAATTATAAATTTTCTTTCAGATTTAGTGACAAGAAAAATTTGAAAT